CCCCCCTGGGCCCTTTTAAACCGGCTAGGCCGCCTGCGAGGTAGGCCTGCCCGGCGCGCGCGCGTGTTGAGCGGGCTGCCTGCGCGGACTTCGCGGGCGCCCCGCCGCCGGCAAGCAAGTGCGCCCAAGTGCGCGGAGCCACCGCGAGAGGGCGCCGCGCCACCGCGGGGAACCACCACGCCCTTTAATTGGCCGGAACGCCTTCCGGAACGCCCTCCGGAACGCCCTCCGGAACGCCCTCCGGAACGCCCCAGGAAGTGACACCGCGGGCCGGGCCGGGCGTTCCACCAGGACAATGCCAATAATTCCAGATCTTTTCTTTTTTTTTTCCAGCCGGAAATGAGGACGACTTGAATCTTTTGCTGCACCACTGTGAAAGAGGATGGAGCGGGCGGAGGCAGGGGGTCGAGCCGGGCCGCCACTGGACACGAAAAAAACCGTGACCGTTGGAAACCAGGTTACGGACAGAGAGAGAGAGAGAAGGAAAAAAATCAGGATGACAATAAAAAAGCCGCGTCGTACAAACGAGCAAACTTCGGCGGAAAGCGAGGAGTTCCCTGACCCCAGCTGCAGCGAAAGAAGAGAGTGTGGCGAAGGCAATCGAACGCAGGGGGCGGTGGTGACCTGGTGGTGACCGTCGGGGGCGAGTGCTTTGTGGATGCAGCGCAAGGTTTGCGGCACGTCGCCAAGGTGCTGCAGCAGAGCCAGCAGAGCAGAGGAGGCCATGAAGGGGCAGATTCCGAACCGGCTTCGTCGCTGCGTCTCTCTCTCCTCTCGGACGGCCCACGAGAGCGACAGAGACAGAAGGTCCTGTTCGGAATGAGTGCTCTGATTTAGGCGCGACATATCGGGCCGTACGGCTGATGATTAACTGCTGCCCCCGGTGGGGCCCCGTGGGGTGCGGCCGTGTGGGGCCGTGCGGGCCGCAGCGAAGACACAGTGTGTACATTATTTGCATTTAGATGGCGTTAAGGCCCCGGCCAATCACAGCATGCAAAGCATATCTCGCTTTGGGG